CTACTACTACTACTACTACTATTCTAGTAGTAGTAGTAGTAGTAGTAGTAGTAGTACTAGTAGTACTAGTAGTAGTAGTAGTAGTAGTAGTTCGTTCGTTTCATGCTCGCTGCGCCACTCCCCATGCCAGAGTGGTCTAAAGGGTGCTCAGTGCCAGTGTGTGCTCTTTGGCTGCTGATCAGCGAGTTCGATCACGTTCGATCGAGCGTACATGCGGGTAGTGCGGTAGTAACCTGGTAGTAGTATTTGTTGTTGGTGGTGGTGGTGGTGGACTTATTCGTTGTTGTGTTATGTTTTTGTGTGTTGTGTGCTGGTGTTGTGGTCGGTCGTGTTGGTGGTGGTGTTGTCGTTGTCGTCGTCGTCTTTGTTGTTGATGTTGTAGATGGTGATGTTCTGAGGCTTGTTGTCATTGCTCCGGTTATTGTTATCCTCTTCATGTGCTTGATATCATTATTACTGTTGGTGTTGTTTGTTGTTGATGTTTGCTGGTTGTTGTTGGTGCTGTTGTTGTTGCTCGTACTGTAGTTGTAGTAGTAGTAGTAGTAGTTGTTGTTGTTGTTGTTGTTGGTGGTGGTGTTGGTGTTGGTGTTGGTGTTGGTGTTGGTGTTGGCGTTGTTTTTATTCTTCTTATTATCAGTCTTGTTATTTTTCTTCTCAATTATTGGCAGTATTATTGTTGTTATTCGGTTTATTTCTGTTCCTGTTGTTGTTATTATTATTACTAATTATTCTTCTAACTATTCGTTTTATTGGTCTTGATGTTTCTGTTGTTTTGTTGTGTTGTTGCTGCTGCTCTTGTGGTGTTTGTGTTTGTGTTTGTTGTTGTTGTTGTTGCTGCTGCTCTTGTGGTGTTTGTGTTTGTTGTTGTTGTTGTTGTTGCTGTTGTTGTTGTTGTTGCTGTTGCTGTTGTTGCTGTTTGTGTTTGTGTTTGTTGTTGTGTGCTGTTGTGTTTTTTGTCGTTTCTGGTGGTTTATTGGTGTTTCTTGTTGTTCTTGCTGTTCCTGTTGTGATTGTTGGCGTGATTGTTGTTATCGTTGCAGCTATTCTTCGTGTTGTGTCTTGTTGCTGTTGCTGCTGCTACTGCTGTTGAACAGTTACCGTTGCTGTTGTCGTTGTCGTTGTCTCTGTTATTATTGTCGCTGTTGTTGTGGTTGTTGTTGCTTCTGCTGTTGTGGTTGCTGTTGCAGTTGCAGTCACCGGGTCCATCACTATTGCTGTTGCTGCTGTTGCTTTTGATGCCTTATTGCCTGTGTGTGTGTCATGGTTGCCGATGCTGGTCGCGAAGGTGTTGCATCGTCGTCGTCGTTAATGTTGCTGCTGTGGGTAAAGGTGTTGTGGCATTTCTCTGTTGCGATTCCGATAGCTAATGATAAATTGACGGCGATGCTTCTGATTGTTTGTGCGAACGATGTTGTGCTTCTACCTGTGCTGGCCCGGCTTGCCCTTGTTGGAACTGTTTCTGCTGTGGCGGTCGCTGTGAATTGCGCGCCTTCTGTTCTAGTCGACGTCGTGCTCGGGCTGGTGCTGGTCATGCTACCGCTGTCGTTGCTGACATGCCGTTTCTTGTTGTTGCCCATGGTCGTCGAAAGAGTTAATGCCAACGTACTCCAAGCTCTTTCGAGGCCATCGCCAGGTTCTCTCAGACGTGCCACGCAACGCGGGTCGCTCCAAGCAGGCAGGATCGTCAATCAGACCGTGGATTGAGCTAGCACTGGCCTCCGGTTTTTCCTCAGCCAGAGCCACCGGGACAGAAACTTCCCAGAAGCTATATATAATAATAATAATAATAACAATAATAATAATACTAATACTAATAATAATAATAATAATTTACTGAATCCAGGACTGAGCTGGAGGAGGTTTGGCGCGCTTCTCAGAGAGCCCTATGCTCGAAACTTGTGCACTTGAAGCCTGTCGCAACCTTGTACAGTTAGAGCACCTACTTTCTGCAGTGCAAAACTTATAATTAGCACAGTACCGTCCCTCACGTGGGTCTTGGACTTGCCTGATCATAGCAGAAAAGCACGGCCATTCTTTGGGAACCGCACTTCTACCATAGGTCACATGCACACCTGCGAAGCAGTGAGCCGCAGTTGGTTTCGGAGTCGCTTTGCTGACTGCGGCTGGGGACCTAGCCCGCCACTGCGACATCACGGCTCAAACACAACTGAAGCTTCCTGCCTGCTACCTTTTGAAAGATCTGCCGTCCAGCATGCTGCGATTCCTGTCGGTCTTTGCAGTCCTTGTGGTTGCCTCTGGGCAGACAGCCCAGGACGACAAGGTGTTGGCCGACGCCGCAGAGACCGTGGAGAAATACTGCTCGGTCACCGAATCGCTGCCAGAGCTGGACACCGATGCTGCACGGGAAGATTTGGAAGGCGGCGCAGGTGCAGACAATTTCATTGTGACGCTCATTGAAGAAGCAGGTATCGCCCGCCAAAACGGTGACGATGTAGCCCAGATCGCCGACCGCTTTCAAGAGATCGCAGACCCGGGTTTTGTGGCCGGAAAGGCCTTTGCCGTCGTTTTGTCGATTTTGCTCTTTGTGCTGTGGGTCCTGTGCTGCTGGTTCGTTTGCTGCCCTTGTTGCTGCAAGATGTGTTGCCGATGCTGCCAACGCAAGTGGGCAACCGGAAAGGTCTTCAAAGGAGTTCTCTGGCTTCTCTTCATCGCATTTGGGGTTGCTGCAGTCATCATGGTCTCGACGTCCATGTCTGGTGCCACCAGCATCGATAATGGCATCTCTGGCACAGCCTGCTCGGCCGCCGTCTTGATCCAGGATGCGGTGGCAGGCTCCCCTGAGCATCAGTTTACTGGGCTTTTGCCGGCGTACAACACACTTTCCGGATTGGCCACGATTTTGAATCCAGGCTCGTCTTTCTTGACACAGCTCAACACAATTATCGATCAAACGCAGGACAGGATTTAGGGTTCAGGGTTTCAGGGTGGCTAGCAGGACAACTTCGGTTGGCATCCTGCTGGTCGCTTTAACACCTTCTGTGACAAACGCAGGACATTCAGAAGGCGGTCGACCTTGCAGCTGGCACGATGGAAGCCCTCCAGACGATGATGGAGAACCCAGTGAATGTCAACCCGGTGGTCGACCCCAGCAACCCATCGTCTTCCACGATGTACCACAAGTGCCAAGTGTGCGAGCCCCTGGCTGAGATCCTGGGCAGGATCAACGATGTCTTCGGGAGCAGTACGGGTGAGGCCATGGCCCAGCTGCGAGGAAAGATTGAAGAGAACCTGCAAGGATCGGCTGCCGAGGACCTCCGCGTCTCCATCACGCAAGCCATGGAGCCCATCAAGGCAGCCAAGGACGCCTTCGTCGAGCAGGTTGGCTTCTTCGTAGAACCCGGCAGTGGCGGCTTTCAACAATCTACCGAGATGGTTGCTGGTGAGAATTCCATGTTGCAGCCAGCAGTCTTGGCCTTCTTTGCCTTCTACTTGCTCATCGCTCTCAGCGCTCTGATTGCTCTTTCCCTTTGGTCAGCAAAGGACAACCAGGGAGAGAAGCCAGACATTTGCTGCGTCCGGTTCTGCAGTGGATGCGTGTCGTGCAGTGCTTGTATCTATGCCATGATCGTTTTGTTGATTGCTGGCATCATGGTCATCGTGGCTATGTTCGGCAGTGGCCTCTGTCTAGTCATGATCGACTTTGACCAGGAGTCGGGTGCTAACCTGATGGCTGCTGTGGGTGCTGATGTCCCACCGGAGGTTGAGATGGCACTGAAGATTGCAGACAGGTGCTTCAGCCTCAAGCATCCCGAGCAGGACCCTGGCTTTAGCCGAAATTTGGCTGACATCGTCGACATCCCTCCCATGAACCAGACAAGGGCCGATCTTGGCGAGAGCTCCACAATCCGCGAAGAGATTTTCACATTCGCCCTTGATCCGATCATGCAGCAGATCGACAACGCACAGGCCTCCTTGGGCGGCGATGGGTCGGCACCGTCGCTTGCCAATGACGCCGCGACCCAGGAGTTGCTGAGCATGATCGGAGCCCTGGACATGTCGGCTCTCTACCTTCCAGTGGAGTCGGAGATTGCTGCAGCATCTTCACCCTACAAAGCGATGATGGAGGATGTTCAGGGCTCTACGAGTCCATTCAAGGCGTACCTTGTGAATAGCGTGTCTTGCCCGAACGTGTCCTTGAGCGATGCTCTCGGAGACCTTGGTGGCCAGTCCGTGCCGGGCATTGAAGCCATGGCAACGGATGGATTCACCGTGCAGGGCAACGACGTGCCAGCCCTGTCCTACTACATGGACACGCCCATGGCGGGTTCATGCCCGTCCTTAACCGGCGGCACTTGCAACAATAACCTGACGATGCAGTTCTTCGAGCCGGGATGCACAGCGGCAGCCAGCTTCCTCAAGGATATCAAGCAGAAATTCCAGACTGAAGAGCTGTTCATGTGCACGTACATCGTTAACGGGCCGAATGACCCCACACCGTGCTACCCACGCAACATGGTCCAAAGTGGCGGCACCTGGACCGGAACCTGCCTGAACGGTGGCACCGTATATCGGCGAACTCGGAAGTGCACGCTCGCCGAGTTCAACGACTTCGTCAAGGGTGCCGAGCAGGACATCCAGAAATCCTTCGAGTATTTCGATGCCATCACCAGCAGTTTGCTTGATGCTATCATCAACGACATGAAGACTCTCGTGCAGACAGACATTATCACCCCGGTGGTGGACCTTCTCGACCTGCTAAATTGCGGCTTCATGCGCAATTTCTGGCAGGGACTGACTGATAACATGTGCTACCGAGGTATGAACGGCTTCCGCCTGATCGCAAACAGTTACGTCATTTCCGGCTTGCTGAGCTTGTGCATCGCCTTGCTCATCATCATTCCATGGAAGATTTCGAGGGACAATGCAGACAGGGCCCTGCTCGCTGACCAGCCGGCGCAAGTTGTGCAGAGCACAGTGTGATCTGATCTCCACGACGTCAGAGCAAGGTTGAGCTGCAAAGCTTTTTCCTGTCAGGAAGGGCACCAGGCCGGTAGGAAGCTTGGCTACGTCGACACGGCCGAGCTGGTTGCAGTGCTACGGCTTCTACACGGTTTCGAGATTCAGAGACATTCATAGGGTATGGATCATAAGCTTATCTCAACAATACCCGGTAAAATTTGAGTAAACTTGTTTGAGACTCCCAACTCAAAACTCGCCGTGTCGAGAATTTTAACTTGAATCCAGCTGCAATTCACGACTGGACGTGCAGTAGGCAGATCGCGGGTTTACTTTACTAGGCTTTCAAGTTACGCTTTCTGGCAGCTTCGTTTTCGGTTCCTACCGCAGGTCCACCCAGCTTTGGATTGCAATCACGGTGCAACACTACCTACGATTGCACGCACTGGCTTTGCGGATGCAGCTTGATGCCGAAACCCTTGCTGCAGATTCTAGGGGCAGCCAGGCCAGGATGCACTGCAGAGTCTAAGCGTGCTGTGCATCTGCAAATCCGTCTCGTAGAGCGCAGAGCGCTACGATTTCAATTTGTCCCTTGCTTTGGCTGCCCTCGGCTTCACAGCTTTTACAAGCGTCCGTTGATTCATACGTGAGGGTTTATTCACTTGTGCTAGGCGGCTCAGGGCCTGAAGTATCAGACTCTACCACCAGTAGGGTATGTTCGACGGAGCGCGTCTCTGTGAGTCGAGGGAGCCTTCTCTTGCAACTAAAGTGCATGAGTCAAAGTTCCGAAATCTTGGAACCTGGACTTGATCTTGCACCCTTAGGCGGACCCCTCGCGGATCGGAGTCTTGAAGCGAAAGTTTATGCCGAACAGCCAAAGCTATCGTCTGGTCCGAACATCTCCGAACCCGGTGCTGCCGCTATGCCACGTACACGACGCAGGCTGGCATATGCCTCACTTGCCGAAGGCAAAAGTTTGAAAAGCTTTATGGCAAGCGGGTCTTCGCACCCGCCAGCATATTGCTTTCATGCATCGCCGGGTCGCATCGACCCTGGTGATGGAAGAAAACCTGACGGATGCAGGAGCTTGGTCAAAGAGTTGGAAAATGGAGTGCTGTTTGTTCCTGATTCGGGGACAGAGGCAACAGCTTAGTCCAGCCATATCGCCACCTGGAGTCTGAGTTAGACTTCAAAGCCAAGGGCCGCCTGTCGGGGCCTTTCTGCCTGCCACGTGGCTGCGTGCCTGGTGGCTGAAATCACCGGGGCGGAGGACTGGCGACCCAGGCCCTCGGGACCCTTGGGGCGAGTGACACGTGAAGACTTGATTGACACTGGCGGCGATGACGTTGTTTCGAAAGTCGATAACCGTTCCAAATTTGACATGGAGGATGGCGATGGTGAGCATGGCGATGACGCCGTAGCAGTAGCAGTAGTAGTAGTAGTAGTAGCAGCAGTAGTAGTAGTAGTAGTGGTAGTAGTAGTGGTAGTAGTAGTAGTAGTAGTAGTAGTGGTAGTAATGGTGGTAGTAGGAGTAGGAGTAGGAGTAGGAGTAGTAGTAGTAGTAGTAGTAGTAGTAGTAGTGGTGGTGATGGTAGTAGTAGTGGTAGTAGTAGTCGTCGTAGTCGTCGTCGTCGTAATCGTAGTCGTAGTCTTAGTAGTAGTAGTAGTAGTAGTAGTAGTAGTAGTAGTGGTGGTGGTAGTAGTAGGAGTAGTACGTGGTACAAATAGCGGCAAGTAGCAGCAATTGCTTGCACCCAGCGGCAGTCATTGTAGCTCAGCAAAAGGAAAACGAGTAGTAGTGTTTGTTGCTGCTGTTGTTTTGGTTGCCCTGTTTGGTGTTGCTTTGGCTGGTGCTGGCGTTGGCTTCGGCGTTGGCGTTTGTGTTGGTGTGGTTGCTGGTTTTGTTGGTGCTGGTGCTGGTGCAGTTGCTGTTGTTCCTTGTACATGTCCTTGTTGTTGTTCTTGTTCTTGTTGTTTTTGGTGGTGGTGGTGGTGGTGGTGGTGGTGGTGGTGGTGGTGGTGGTTGTGGTGGTGGTGGTGGTAGTGGTGGTGGTGGTGGTATTTTTGCTGCTGCTGCTGGTGCTGTTGCTGCTACAGTAGTGACTATTTTGGAGCTTCATGTTGTTGCTTTTGTCACCTCTTATCAGTCTGCTTGCTGCTGGCCGCCGTCGTCGTGACTGTCTCGTCATCGTCGTGGTTGTGCTTATGTGTGTTGTTATTATTATCATTGCTGCTTCGCTTGTTGTGATTATGCTTCTGATGGTTGCGCTTTTGGTGGTCATAGCTTTTTTGGTGACTAGTCTTTGCGTCGAATCACATTTCCAGAATAGCCGCTATGAGTGCAAGAGCTCGTCAAGTTTCATTATTACCTTGTGGTCCTTGTTCTGGTGATGTATATCGTGTCCAAGATTGGCAGTCTGGACCGTTCGAGGGGCGGGAACATTGCTCACAATGTGTCGTTGACGACTCCGTGTGCGTGGCTGGCTTAGTATTCTGGGTCTGCTCGCTGAGGCTTTCGACTCTTACGTATCGGAGAGCAGGTGACCTGCCCACCGAACTCGCTCCTGACCAGGTTGCGGATGCTGCACCTCTTGGAGTTTCTGCATCGTCAGGCGCACTCAAAGATTAAGCATTCCGGACCAAAGTCCTTAACGGCAGTCTGCTTGGCGAGCGGTGAGGAGTAGACGGGATGGATGGCAGGAACAAGATTAAAGCTACAACAGCCCCAGTGTAGCTTCTCCTGTTGCTGGCCACAGCCCTCGATAATCCGCGGAATGGCCAGCAGTCAGCACCAGTGGACCACGGCACCATCCCCAAAACCATCCAGCAACAGTTTGGTACCCAGACAACGCAAGCGATAATCGCAGCAACAAGGCGGACATGGAATGCGTTTACCACTTACATACTGCTGGGAGCGGACTTAGCTGGAACCGAAGGATTTTCAGTTCGTGCCAGTTCGGGTCAGGCACGCTAACCGTTGTGGTGCAGCACCCCTGTTGCCCCTCTTGCCAGGGGGGCGCTGCAGCTATTGCTGAGTCCTCAGCGTTGGGATTGGCAGTCTTAGTCAAAGTTTTGTGGCTGCGGTTCGTTCAGCAGTGCTTGGCCATCGGCTGACGGTACAGGGAAAGGTTGTTAAGGTCCTTGTATCTGCCACCAGCTCACAACTCTCGAGGTGGCTGACGAAACACTTTCCGAGATTGAGGCGGGATTTGGGGAACTGAGGGGCTGCCCAGTTCTGCTTGCAAAGTGCTGTGAAGCCGAGCCTCGCACCATCAATGCGTACGGTAGCTATGTCTTTGCCTGGAGGACACTTTCAACAAGCATGCTTGTACAAATACGTGCGTTTATACAGTGTACGTAGGCATGTGGTGAAAATAGAACAAAAGCTGATGTGCTACTAGCTGCTATTATGTGGTGTACTCAGTGTAGTCGGCTCACATGGGTCTACACACACAACCTGCAAAGACAAGCTGTATCATCGAAATCTACGATGCAAGCACACCTGTGTTTACATGTTTGTTTGTGTATGTATCTGTGCATGCGCCCATGTGTGAGCGTATGCATGCGTGTACGTATATGTCAAGTATATGTGTATGTGCATGGCAGTGTGTGTACGTGCATGGCGGCTTGTTTGTTTGTTTGTCTGTCTGTATGGCTAGCTGTCTGGCTGGCTGTCTGTATGTATGCATGTATGCATGTACACATTCTGGCATATATGTCCATGCTTTGCACATGATGATGCTTCATGTTGGTGTGCATGTGGGTGTGTGTGTGTGTGCGTGTGTCTATACATATACACAAAAGACACATGTTTGCGTATGCGGATGCTCGCGCATACGTCGACATGTGCAGGGATAAGTATTCGGCATATGTCTACGTTTCCGTATATGGACATGTACGTGTGTACATATACATATACAGTAAATACATATACGTATAAAAATATGTATACATATATATATATATATATACATATGGTTGTGCTCTCTGCGTTCTGCGCCCCTCCGCCCCCCTCCCTCCCCTCCCCCCAATGGTATGGGTCTCAAATACAATGGCCTGGAGCCTTAAGTTCAACAAGACAGGAGCACTGGGCCCACAGGAACCACCTTAAGAGAAGGTCCGTACAGGGGTTTATGAAGGCGAATGCAAGGTTTCTTCGGCTTTTCATGGGGTAGCGAGTTAATAAAGGGTTCTATGAGGCCTCGCCTGACGGTGCCAAGTGGGAGCCAAAAATGCGGGCTTCAAAGGGTTTATCTGGGCTTGCCAGGATTGACAAAGGCTTTGTTGAATTGTGTGCTCAAAGGCCTGGGACGGCGGGGTGCAACTCAAGGCTTTTTATGATTAGTAGTACAAGCGCTACCTGCTTATTCGGGTTCGGAGGGGTTCAACATAAGGTTTCGTATGTTTGGTACTACCTGAAGAGAGTTATAGGCAATATTTGCAATGATTATGTTACCTCGTAACATGAGTGGTAGTAGTAGTAGTAGTAGTTGTTGTTGTTGCTGTAGTAGTAGTAGTAGTAGTCGTCGTAGTAGTAGTAGTAGTAGAAGTAGAAGTAGTAGCAGTAGTAGTAGTAGTAATAATAATAACAAAACTAATCACCGAAAGCAACTGTCGTAATTGTAATGTTGAAAACACTATAACATGATAGCACGAGCAACAGCACCAGC